CTGTCTTTTTACGCGTTGTGTTCGCCGCGTAAACATAAAACCATGTCTGCATTTGTGATCGGAGAAATTACGAACAACAAGCGCTACTATACACTGCTCAAAAATTGCGTTTGAATCGTCAGTGGCAAATTCTTTAAATATAAAAAATGTACTTACAGTCTGTGAGTCAGAACAGCCGGCATTGTAGTCTACTCTACCAGGATCAGGAAAAAGTCCTCCATAAAATGCCCTGAACACATCTGAATATTTGGGTTGAACTGTTCTGGAACAGTGTTGTAAATACAACTTAACCAATGATTTCTGCCAAACAAACAAAGTAGTTTCGCTTTCACAACGAAACACACTTGAGTGAGCGGCGGTGGGCGGGCTTGAGAACGGCACGGCCGGCGGGTTTGCGGCAACTACATGTGATGACCCCGGGCTGGACTCCGCTTCGTCCACAGTGAAAGCCGATCCGGCGATCCACAGCGCAAAGTTGATGTATTTCCTCAGCAACCAGCACGGATCAGCTCTAGGCATGACGAAGCGGATATCGTCCTCTTTTGGAAGGCCAAACAAAGTAGTTTTGCTTTCACAACAAAACACACAGCGCCTTCATGACATGGTGGCAGCAGCAACAACAATACTACAGCGAGAATAAAAGTTATGTCTTCTTTCTTTGCGTGGTGTTATGCAAATCTTCCCACATCGTGATATAGACATGTGGGGGCGTGTTAGAACCAGAGGCAGGACAAAGTACTCAACTCCATTACTTGAGTGAAAGTACAGATACTGCTGGTCAAATATTACTCCATTCTAAGTAACAGTTGTAAATACAGAGTTGGGGGCGTGTTAGAACCAGAGGCAGGACAAAGTACTCAACTCCATTACTTGAGTGAAAGTACAGATACTGCTGGTCAAATATTACTCCATTACAAGTAAAAGTTGTAAAGACAGAGTTTTACTTAAATAAAAATACAGAAGTACTTGCTTTTAAAAGTACTTAAGTACCAAAAGTAAGTTGTATTGTTGTACGTAATACTTGCAATACTTCTGAAGCAACTTAGAATACATTACACCTACTGAATACACTGACTAGCTTGTATCTTTGGAATAAAGAGCTTTTCGAATGTTAAAAACCTATGGGGGAAAAAAAACAAAACAAAAAAACATTGAACACCCCTACCCACCCCACAAAAGCAGGATGGTAGTGCTCTCACACAGCTCTGACAGTGTGTGCACACATCTATGTGTAGCCATTCATCCACATTTGAACAGAGTGGACAGTGAAATCCTGTAAATACAGAGTAATAAGGGGAAAAAAATCAAACCTGCTTTAAAACCCAGCAACACAACTGTAGCTGTATAATTTGACAACAGCAACACTGCTTTAACAAAAAAGCAAAAAAGCAAGACTTATTTGACATCAAAACGAAAATGGTAAAAATGCCGTCTAATCGCTCTTGCTGTACTTTGATGTCATACACAGAACGGTCTGTGCAGTGCTGCTTCAAGTCCAACACCTATTGTGTTTTATTAGGAGACGCAACAGTTCTTCTCTGGCTTTATAGGTAATATTTTCACGTACACAATTGAGCAAAATCAGACAATATTGTGTCTAATATATACCACAATATTAACTTCTTATTATTGAATTGTTGTAAATAAATATCACATTTGTAACTGGTCAGTGTTCAAAAAATGCTGGGAAATCACTTCATGTAGCTCTACAAGAGTGATTACTGATAAACTGTCTGAAAAAAAGTTACGTTTTAGAGAAGAAAAAAATCACCCACTGACTTTCAAAGCTGCTACATAGTAACGACTTTCTACTTCGAGGACCTTGATAGAAATGTAGTGGAGTGAAAAGTACAATATTTGTCTTTCAAATGTAGTGAAGTTAAAGTCATAAGTTCCCAGAAAAAATAATACTCAAGTAAAGTACAGATACTCAAAAAGTGTACTTAAGTACAATACTCAAGTAAATGTACTTAGTTACTGTCCGCCTCTGGTTAGAACGAGCCGTTTTAGGTAGGCGTGGTTGACTAAAGACTATCTCTTTGGATTTGAGACTTTAGTCTTTGCAACTTTACAGATCTTCTTTATGCACCAAGAGCTTGTAACACTCCAAAGAGAAAGGAAAAATTTTAATCGCATCATATGATCCCTTTAATAACATGCATTATAGATTGGGGGGTTTTAAAAGTATTAATTTCTTTCAAAAGAAATCTTTAAAAACTTTAAACATTATTGTATGTATATATTAAGTTATTGCAACTAGTAAGCAAAATCTAACAAGACACCCAAGTAGGAGATAACGGGGCCAGGGCTCGCAAAATCGCTAGCCCGACGTCCCGGGGCTATTGAGTTTTCCAGTCGGGCTACCAAAATGTATCACCACTCTGCCCGACGGGCTATCTTAAATACAGATATCCTGCGGGTCGTTAAAAACTCCTAAAGTGAGTTGCATCAAACTTAAGGCCATAAAAAGTTTTACAGAGTGATAAGGAAGATAAAAAAATCAAACCTGCTTTAAAACCCAGCGACACAACTGTAGCTGTACAACTTTACAACAGCAACACTGCTTTAACAAAAAAGCAAAAAAGCAAGACTTATTTGACATCAAAACGAAAATGGTAAAAATGCCGTCTAATCGCTCTTGCTGTACTTTGATGTCATACACAGAACGGTCTGTGCAGTGCTGCTTCAAGTCCAACACCTATTGTGTTTTATTAGGAGACGCAACAGTTCTTCTCTGGCTTTATAGGTAATATTTTCACGTACACAATTGAGCAAAATCAGACAATATTGTGTCTAATATATACCACAATATTAACTTCTTATTATTGAATTGTTGTAAATAAATATCACATTTGTAACTGGTCAGTGTTCAAAAAATGCTGGGAAATCACTTCATGTAGCTCTACAAGAGTGATTACTGATAAACTGTCTGAAAAAAAGTTGCGTTTTAGAGAAGAAAAAAATCACCCACTGACTTTCAAAGCTGCTACATAGTAACGACTTTCTACTTCGAGGACCTTGATAGAAATGTAGTGGAGTGAAAAGTACAATATTTGTCTTTCAAATGTAGTGAAGTTAAAGTCATAAGTTCCCAGAAAAAATAATACTCAAGTAAAGTACAGATACTCAAAAAGTGTACTTAAGTACAATACTCAAGTAAATGTACTTAGTTACTGTCCGCCTCTGGTTAGAACGAGCCGTTTTAGGTAGGCGTGGTTGACTAAAGACTATCTCTTTGGATTTGAGACTTTAGTCTTTGCAACTTTACAGATCTTCTTTATGCACCAAGAGCTTGTAACACTCCAAAGAGAAAGGAAAAATTTTAATCGCATCATATGATCCCTTTAATAACATGCATTATAGATTGGGGGGTTTTAAAAGTATTAATTTCTTTCAAAAGAAATCTTTAAAAACTTTAAACATTATTGTATGTATATATTAAGTTATTGCAACTAGTAAGCAAAATCTAACAAGACACCCAAGTAGGAGATAACGGGGCCAGGGCTCGCAAAATCGCTAGCCCGACGTCCCGGGGCTATTGAGTTTTCCAGTCGGGCTACCAAAATGTATCACCACTCTGCCCGACGGGCTATCTTAAATACAGATATCCTGCGGGTCGTTAAAAACTCCTAAAGTGAGTTGCATCAAACTTAAGGCCATAAAAAGTTTTAAATACGTTAAATGGTATAAGAAATTTCTTAATTATAATTTCAAGAGGTCTTACAGTTGGGGACGAAAAGACAAGAGTTGCCATACGGCTGGATTAATTCAACTTTAAAAGGCAATGATGTCATTGAATAAATATAAGCACTGCACGTTTCAAGTCAAAACGCCCAGAGCTGCTTTGTGTACAGCCGTTACTGGGGAAACCGCAATATTTCAGTGCTCCTAAAGCGCTACCTCGTGGCAGAGAATTAATTTGCATTTCCAATAAGCCTTTCTTGCTGTTTATGGTCAGATCAATGCAAATATCAACTCATGTTTTACGCAGCAAACACAGAGTAAATAAGAAAGAAGTTAATGTGCCTTCTAAAAATCTAAACAATTAAGACAGTAATAGTATATTTATACATTTTAAATTAACAAGTTATATGCTTGATTTATCCCTTTTCATAAAAATGGTCTAAAGGCTGAAATGCTGTTGTATAAGATTTTTGTTTTTGTGAAAACCTGTATCTGAACTGTAAATCATGTAATTTTATGGCTCAATACTGTATGTTACCACAGACATTGTCCAACCCCACTCATACTGTGTTCATTTTACTTGTGCAGCTCTTAAAATGGGTCATAAATGGCCTTACATTCATTTTTTTAAATTCAGCAGATACCCTGTAAATAGTGAAATAAAATTCCTTCCTTCATATTTGTTGATATTTGTGTATTGAAAATATTTTCGATCGACATTTAAACTCCTATCTGATTTTATCAAAACATTTCTACATTGCAGAAATATTATTGGTATTAAAATAAAATGCAAAATCTTTCAGTCACCATTAGTTGCGTATCAAGGGATGACATTTTACTTCACTTTACCCTTGTATTGTTTACTTTTGTAACTACACACATTTATGTATCACTTGTTACAAAGAGCAAAAATATATGATTGGTTATCTGTAGGAATGCAACATTTTTATTTGCACTTTTATGTAAAGTATAGAACATTTAAATGGAAACTGCCAAACTCCGTTTAATATGAAGGTCACTCACTCAGTCATCTGTGTGCAGAAGTTCTCAGATATACTGTATGTGATGCATGCTGCTACATGCATTGGCAGAGCCTAATGTATCATCTTAGATTATTCTGCACACATTTTCCAGATTGATATCTCTGTTCGGAAAAAAAGGTCATGGAAAATCACTTTTCTTTGGTAGTCTGCCACCAGCTGTGATATATTTCTTAGTCTGGGAGCTTTCATAGTGTTGAAATTCAATTTGTTAATTCAGGGTGGACCTTGAATGTGCCTGACATCAACATGTGGGCTGAGTTTCAGAAGACTTACTTGATATAGTAGGGGACATTGTTGGGCGAAATTGACCGTTCAAGAGGGCTTTCAACGGACGCTGTGTGCAGAAAAGAAAACCCATTCATGTTACCTCAATTTCAAAGCCCTTCAAACACTTCTTTTTGACAGTTTATGTACTGACTTGACAGTTTAGTGAGAACATAAAATACACAGGATTAGTATACAACTACAAAGTTATGACATTACGATACTCATAATATTGCAAAACAGAACAACAAAAACTCACTCACCATGTAGGAAATTCTGAGACTGGGGCCCCAAGTCCTTATAGGCTGTGGTCAGCTGGGTCAGATGTTCCTCAATGGAGATCTAAAAAAAAAACACAGAAGTTGCCAAGGCAACATTTCTAAGATTTGTGAGGTTTAAGTTTTTCATCTACTACTGTTTTTATGTTTCTGTCCTACGTTCTTTTATTAAATAATTCCTTTGTGTCTTTTGTCAAATCTCTGAAGGACAGAATATTTCTGTGATCTGCTTGTTGCATCTATTGCTGACATGTACTCTTGTCTACAAGTGCTCAAAGATTTAACTTTTTTTTTTTCTTCTAAATGTGGAGGCCAGTTGGTTGACCTGCTTTACATTATTCTGGATGGGAGCTATCTCCTCCTGGAACGCCTGAAAATATACATAAAGCCTTGATGTCTTTTGTCCAAAAGGCTTAAAGATTAAAAAAATTATATGTATATATATATAAACATGCTACTCCAAGGTGCTTCAGATAATACCATTAGGGACGCACCGAATGTTCGGCAACTGGAATTATTCGGCCGAAAATTGCAACAAAAGCTCTTTCGGTGTTCGGCTGAATAAGCAAAAAGACTGAATAAATTGTACCCAACAATGACGTGACGCGATCAAATAGAGGCACGCACTAATGCAGCAAACATGTCAGCAGTGTGGAAGCATTTAAAAGTGACTGAGAAAGACCCAAAAATCATTACAAGCACCGACAGCGAAAGACGCATGTCTTCGATGAGAAGAGGAAGGGGTGTTTGTTGCTGGTTACTGTATGATGACTGAAATCGCGAAATGCGCTTTAACAATTAATTAACACACATAGTATTCAGACTGGGATCTGTAATATTTTCTAATGTTTTAAAAGAAGTCTCTTCTGCTCAGCAAGGTTGCATTTATTTGTACAGTAAAAAATACATGCCCGATTCAAGAAGGGGGACTCAAAAATGGCCCAAAAATATTATTTTACTAACTTATTAATTTTAAGTTAAATTGTGTTTTATTGGTATAATGTCTGCTAGAATGTTAGAAAAATGTTCAGTGTTAAGTAAATATTTTTAAAGCACATTTTGGCTATTTCATTTATGCAATGGTGAAAATAATTGGCAAAATGGGGGGAAAAATGCAACAAAACATGTTCTGTATTCGGTATTCAGCCTTCGGACCAGTGTTTCATTATGTTCGGCTTCGGCCAAGAATTTTCATTTCGGTGCATCCCTAAATACAATGGTATTGCCATGGAACATGTCCAAAAAATCTTATCTCTTATAACATGGTACATTGTACACTGACCTTTACTCTATGTGGTTTTGCAAATCGTCTATGAGCAGGTATGTGCCTGACATCAGCGTCCTTTTATTAAATAATGCCTTTGTGTCTTTTGTCAAATCTCTGAAGGACCGATTATTTCTGTGATCTGCTTGTTGCATCTATTGCCGACATGTACACTTTTCTACAAGTTCTCAAATATTGAACTTTTTTTTTTTTTTTTACTTTTTGTTTCAGAAACTAAATCTGTGACCTGACTAGATTTATAAATAGCTGGTCCATTGGAATGAATGTTATATTAAATTTAACATGAAATCAAAATTACTTTGTGAGTACACATTAAGTTGCAAAACAGTAATTCACATTGACTTCAAATGAGAAGAGGAGGGATGGGTACCTACCTGCAGGAACCTCCATCTCATGTTGAGGTCATCATTTCTGCTCAGGTTGTCTGGAGAGAGCTGAATGTCAGGTGGTCTAAATGTGGAGGCCAGTTGGTTGACCTGATTTACATTATCCTGGATGGGAGCTATCTCCTCCTGGAATGCCTGAAAATATACATAAAGCCTTGATGTCTTTTGTCCAAAAGTCTTAAAGATAAAAAAAATTATATATATATATATATATATATATATATATATATATATAAACATGCTACTCCAAGGTGCTTCAGATAATACCATTAGGGACGCACCGAATGTTCGGCAACCGGAATTATTCGACCGAAAATAGCAACAAAAGCTCTTTCGGTGTTCGGCCGAATAAGCAAAAAGACTGAATAAATTGTACCCAACAATGACGTGATGCGATCAAATAGAGGCGCGCACTAATGCAGCAAACATGTCAGCAGTGTGGAAGCATTTAAAAGTGACTGAGAAAGACCCAAAAATCATTACAAGCACCGACAGCGAAAGACGCATGTCTTCGACGAGAAGAGGAAGGGGTGATTGTTGCTGGTTACTGTATGATGACTGAAATCGCAAAATATGCTTAAACAATTAAATAAACTGCAGAACGTTGTGTTTTCTAATACACGAATGAATTGCATGTATGCAAACAGCTTTGCATGAGCTCGCGGCGCCAGGGTTCAAAGTCCAAAGCGCAAAATCTGCGCTGAAATAGTGTTATTCGTCAGTTGCTCAGTAACATTTTTATGAATTTTTACAAGGCATGTGCAACGTGCAACAAATGTCTTCCAAAATTTGTAATGAGAATCATTTATAAATCTACTGTTGTCAACAAAAAGAAGCACTGAGGTCTTCCTGTGGGTTTCTGGCAAAATAAAAGCTGAGAAAAAGCAAGAACTCCAACATTAATAAATGTTATTATTGTAATTTTACTGTTGTTCTGTAAAATAAAATTAAAAAGACAATAATAATGATAATAATAATTACAACAGCTCTATTAATACATTTATTATAGCATTCACACATAGTGTTCAGACTGGGATCTGTAATATTTTCTAATGTTTTAAAAGAAGTCTCTTCTGCTCAGCAAGGCTGCATTTATTTGTACAGTAAAAAATACATGCCTGATTCAAGAAGGGGGTCTCAAAAATGGCCAAAAAATATTATTTTACTAACTTATTAATTTTAAGTTAAATTGTGTTTTATTGGTATAATGTCTGCTAGAATGTTAGAAAAATGTTCAGTGTTAAGTAAATATTTTTAAAGCACATTTTGGCTATTTAATTTATGCAATGGTGAAAAAAATTGGCAAAATGGGGGGAAAAAAAGCAAAAAAACATTTTGGGTATTCGGTATTCAGCCTTCGGACCAGTGTTTCAATATGTTCGGCTTTGGCCAAGAATTTTAATTTCGGTGCATCCCTAAATACCATGGTATTGCCATGGAACATGTCCAAAAAATCTTATCTCTTATAAAATGGTACATTGTACACTGACCTTTACTCTGTCTATGTGGTTTTGCAAATCGTCTATGAGCAGGTCTCCAACAGGCTTCCAAGAATTCTTCATGGTCTCAGCCTGCCGGAGCTTAAAGTCCAGCTGATCCTGAGCATCCTGCAGCTCCATCAGCCTCTCCAAGGCCAGTTCCAGCTGTTGCTGCCAGTCAACGGAAGCTGCACCCAGATTCTTCCATCGCACTGTTACATCCTCCACTTCTTTACGCAATATGCGGCCCACGTTTTGAACCCTCTCCTCAGGACTTACATCTGGGTGGCACACAAGAAGTGAAATACAGGTTATAGCATCTGGAATTTATTGTATTAGGCATATGTGTAAGGGCAGGAGATTTCATACCCAGTTGTCCAGGCCTCTGTTTAAGACCCTCACGAGGCATCTCAGCGAGAAAGGTTTTAGCGTTGCTGAGTGTTCCATTGATCACAGGTTCTTTGGCACCCAACTCTCTTCTGAAGCCCTATGAAACCACAAGGACTTGCTATCAACAGGACTGAATGGCACAATGAGGGGTAAACATTTGTGCAACTTTAGCACATATGCCAAAACCCTGCAAAAACCTGCATCTTATTCGCATATGTAATCAGGTGCTATTTGTGCTGTATAGTGACACCTCATGCATATTTCAATTAAGCCACTGTCATTCCTTCCTGGGCAAACGTGTCTTCTTCTTATGCAAATAGGGCTCATTATAGAATGCACTGGATTCACAAATATCAGTGCAACTGGATATAATTAACACAGTACTGTTACCAATGTTTGTGAATATTTTCTAGTGATCTTGGTGTGAAATTTTACTGCTGGGCACATTTCCATGCAATTTCTCCAAACAAACTGTCATCAACTTTTATTTGTTTATTTATTACATCTTTTTTAATCATTGCATGATATGCATAATTCCTTCTAAGAACCAAGTGCTATGCAGATATTGCATGCCAGTGTTAACTAAAACTACATAAAAAATAAATAAAATAAAATAAAATAATTTTTGGTAATTGAAAGCTGAAATAAAATTAAATATAAACAATAGAAGAAAAAGTACTAAACTAAAACTGAAATAAAAATAAAGCTAAATAGAAATAATTTTAAAAAATAATAAATATAATAAAAATATTTAAAAAAATGCTAAATCACATAAAATTACAAAAATTAAACAGAAAATAAATTAAAATAAAAAGTAAAAATACAGTATTAATAAATACTATAATAATGTGTAAATAATACTAAAATAACAAATGCTGCCACATGTGACACTATCAGTGGGCACATTTCATTAATTCATTCTTGTTTTCATGAGCAAGCAAACCCTAAACAATATGTTATTATACCCATTAACTGAAAACAAATATAACAACTATTGTAAGATATAAAAGGAAGTTGATAATTATTATTTTCTATTTCTTTTCCATGGGAATGTTCCTGTTTTGAATTTTTCAAATTATTATATAATCAGCATACAAATTTGAGTGACAAGTTGAATTGAACATTTTCACTTTTACATGAACGACAGCAGCATTTGAGTTTGCATGCACATCACAAGTTTTGGTAAAACCTCATGATCACGTTATCTAGTATGGAGAATTATCTGAAGAGTATCCTGTGCTTCAATAGATTCAAAGAAATCTGACCTGACTGAATTCACGTGTTCAACACCATATATTTAATAAGCAAAATTTCCACCATAACTTTTCCGTTTTCAAACTTTATTTCCAAGTTTGAGAGGAAAAATAAATTCTAGGTTTTCATTGTGGATGTTTGCTCAAACATAGCACAGCAATGTCAATTTATCTAATAGTTTGCAGAAACTTTGTTCAATTAAATTTCTGCTGAGACTTTCTTTGCAGCTCCTACACACACACCAGTTTACTTCCCAGTTAACTGCACCTGTAGAGTGTGACAGTGACTCAGCTGTCACCAGCAGCGCACGCTCACTGAGCTCCCTAAACTAACTACTCCACGACCGCATCCTGTTTACAGCGGCCCCTGACAGCTGATGGCCATCAGCAGATGTTAATTGGTCCGCACAACCATACAAAGAGACAAGGGACTTTGCACCTCTCCTACGCAAGATATCATCTCCATCTGTTTAAATATTTAAGAAGAACAGACTCCGATAATGATCACACTTGGGCGCAACAAAAGACAGACTGCATAAATCACGCCTTGAACGTCATTTCTCATGCTTTCAGTGAGGGGTGAAGAGGATGCGTCCTGGACTCACCTTGTGCGTAAGTAGTTGTTGGTGCACGGTCGGCACATCACCCCCTACTGGTTTCTGCTTCTCTAACTCCTCCCTCTTCAGCTGCAGCCAGTTGAGCAGCTCTTGTAAGGACATGTGCATGTGTTTCCACTGATCTACACCTGCATCCAGATAGGGCCTGAGGAGTCGAATGGATGGTAAGATACTGCCAAGTGTTAAATCCCAAACACCACTAGAGAGCACCATACTGTCAGACCGCAATTGAATTTTGCAAAGAAAGTGCTGCGTAAAGGTGGAGATTTGAGAAATCTCTGAATCTTGTATTTGAATATGCATGAACATTAAAAAAGCTTTCGCCAGCTCTTTCTCCTACCAAGGCAAATGTGATTCTTGCAGTTGCTTCTTAGGCCTAATGGCACTCAAATTTCATGAATTCAGCTAAAGTAAAATATTTGGACATTTTCTGGAAATATGAGTGATGCAAAACGCATCAACATGATGCTAGGTAGTTGCCATGGTGTTGCTATGTGGTAGCTAAGGTGTTCAGAGTGTGTTTTAGTGTGTTTCTAGCTGGTTAATATTAAGTTAATATTTCCATAATTTAACAACACATTTGAATGTTTACGGGTCTCTGATGTCAAAGATAATAATAATAAAAAAAAAATTTAGTAGTATGTTTTCACTATTATAACAAATACATATCAAAATAAATTAATTATAAAAATGAAGGCAGGAATATAATGTGGTTATAAATTACAATAATGATATATTTTAAAATATATTACAATAGTAAACTGTAATACTGTCTCACAATATTAGTGTTTTTACTGTATTTTTGAGCACATTAATGCAGCCTTGGTGAACAGAAGAGACTTTATTAAAAACATAAAAATCATAATGTTACCAAACGTTTAGAAAGTATTGTGGGTGTGTATTGTATATATATATATATGTACTGCCATGGTGTTATTTGATGGTATATTGCCATCAAAGATCGTGGTGTTATTTGAGCTATCATTCATTTCTGTAATGCAAACGACCCAGGGCAAATAATATGTCAAAGTGTAATATTTAATGTTAGGGATCCCTAAGTATTAGTAATGCCTTGCAAGCAGCTCTAATAATATTTAGGCTTTTGACTTAAAGTCAAATAAATGCAATGGTTTGCAGTGCACCTAGTATTACACAGGCCTGGGGCTTGTATATGATCACATTATTTTTCAAAACCTGTTTCTGCTCAGCGTGAATTTTTCCCTGGCTAAATATAGATGATTAATTCGTCTTACCTTATACTCATAACTTTGTTACAGAGCTCATGCCACCGATGCCCCATGTCATCAAGCCGTTTTTGTAGCACCACGGCATTGTCCGTCCCCTCCAGAGATGACACAATACGCTGTCCGTTTTCATCTAATGAATGGTACATCTCCTGGTGGGCATCAATCTCTGCTTGGAGATCCTGCGGCGATTAAAAGAGATCACAGACATCCAAGTTACAGTTCACCATGTGATTAGGGATAAAAAAAAGAGTTTCTTTTTCTTCCCCTGATACTTCTTACATCTACTGTGTGAACTTCTGGAATATTTTTTGCTATGATATGATATGATATGATATAATAATCATTGAGATATTATTATAGTTTTTAAATATGTTGCATTATTTCTTACGTTTGTATTTTCCATTTTCATTTTCATTTAAATTTATACAAGATTTAGTTATTTAGTTGTATGTTATGTCCATATAGTTTTTCATGAATTTTTGTTTCAGTTTTAGGTTTAGTCATTTATGTAATATAATAAATAAAATGTAATATATATTTTTTTTACTTAATCTTCATGTTGATTTAAATACAAAATAGTCAATATTTTCTGATGTTATTAAAAATCGCATTTTAGACATATTTTAATATAATATAATACAATATACTTATCATTGAGATATTATTATAGTTTTTAAATATGTAGCATTATTTTTTACGTTTGTATTTTCCATTTTAATTTTAAATTTAGGTAACTTTAATTTTTACAAGTATTAGTTATTTTGTTGTGTTATGTCCATATAGTTTTTCATGAAGTTTTGTTTCAGTTTTAGGTTTAGTCATTTATATAATATAATAAATATAATATAATATATTTTTTTAACTTAAAATCTTGATGTTGATTTAAATACAAAAGTCAATATTTTCTGATGTTATTAAAAATCGCATTTTAGACATATTTTAGTATTTCAGAATGTAACGTAAAGCAGCAGCACAAAATTCATGTGATTTAAATGGAAATCTATTTTATCATCATATTTCACAAATCACTAGCAATGTAATGATACATTCAAATACATATAGAATTTTTTTTTGCATTATTTTAGAATAGATTAGTGCAATACCATCAACAAACCAACAATTTTCATGCATTTTCTCGGACTATATTTTAAGTGCTTGTTCCCATAGTTTGAGACGGCATAAACCAAAAAAGTCATGATGCAAGCCAAACAAATCCAAAGTCACGAAGCAACTGTGAAGCCGACAGTGAAGATCAAACCTTAACATGATATGTCTTCCTGTGCAACATATCCAATGAATGAGCGACATCAAATGAATGAAAAACAGCCCGTCTGACTGTCGGCAGAGACAATCCTTTAATTCCCCACCATGTGGACGTGTCTGACGCAAGGCGAAAATGAGGGAGAAAGGGACATCGTGAGAATGAGCGCGAGAAAATGTATTTTGCGACCATGTGTCTACATGCGACATGAAACGAGCTGCAGAATGCCAGTCGCGGAGGCACACTGGCCCTGTTGTTTGAGCCGCGAGTGGGCACTGCACGCGAGGAATGGGTCAGAGCTGGTTTTCTGGGAGAACAGAGGCTTCACTTTATTGCCCATGTCTTTGTCTGCCTCTTCATATTTAACTGCGTCTCTGCACCGTTGTCAAATGCACATATCTCCCATACCAGTGAGCAGCGGGCGACCTGGACAATAGACCCGTCAGTTTACTCTGCCTTCCTAATAAATAACCTCAATTGGTGGGTTTTTGGTAAATGTGAGCCAAAATCATCACAATTAAAAGAACCAAAGACTTAAACTACTTCAGTCTGTGTGCATTGAATTTATTTAATACACGAGTTTCACAATTTGAGTTGAATTACTGAAATAAATGAACTTTTCCGCGACATTCTAATTTATTGAGATGCACCTGTAGCTTAGTGTGATTATCAAATCAAAGACTGCAATTTCATTAAATAACTGTATAGTCTGATGCATGTTTCAGAGTGAAGCATGCAGCATGTTTAATTATTATAATGATCAAATATTCCTAATGATCAAATATTCCTTTTTTAACAATACAATTGTAATTTATAACAGTAATATAATTTGTCTTTATTTTTTATAATAGTTAAACAGTTACTAATAATACACAATAGTTAAATATACTACTAATAATAACAATTAAAATGATTATTAATATTTTTATAATTATAATCATCATCAACATCAGAGAACATAGAACATGCAAATGTGTTGTTAAATTATTGTAATTTACAACTTTAATATATTTCTGTCTTTTTATAATTTCTTTATTACTTTATAATTATTTTTTTATAATAGTTAAAATATTCCATTAATAATAATAATCAGAATTAAAACTACTCATAATATTGACATCACAGAACCGTGAACATTCGAATGTGTAGTTAAATTATTATCATTTAAATTTTAAATGTTACATTTTAAACAGTAATATATCTCTGTATTTATTTTTGTAATTATTTTATAATTTTATAATTATTTTTAAAGGGGTCATATGATGCGATTTCAATTTTTCCTTTCTTTTTGAAGTGTTACAAGCTCCAGGGGTTAAAGCAAAAAAAAAAATCTTTTGACTGAAAATTTTCCTCAGCCAAACCCCATTCCACAGCCATACCTGTCACACACCCAGTTTAAGAGCAGTTTTTTCTTGTAAATAGGAGCGCTTGTCCTCCTAATTAAAAAAATTTAGGAGCACCTTCTAATCAATAATAAAAAATTCTGATCAAAAATTAGCCTTCCTAATATGAGGTGACATTTGACTTAAAGTGATTTACAGGGGCATTTTCTTTTTACCTTTGTAATGGCATTTTTCTAATTTTATTAAATGTATGCAGTGTTTCCTAGGATTTTTTCCAACTGTGGTGGCAGGACTATTTCTCATGGACCACGCCCCCTCCCCACCCAAGAATCAGGTGCACTCAGAATTTAATTTATTTTAACTAAAAAAGACAAGTAAATAGTAAATAATAAAATAAGAACAAATAAATTAATGACAAACAATAGCACAAACAAAACCAATAACAAGATACAAATTAAACTAACAGTACTTAAATTATTTTCAGTTAGGTCTAACTATAATCTATTCAACTGTAAAATAACACTGGTTAGTCTTCACTGTATAATGAAAGGCAGCAGGAGGTTTATTTAGGCTGCTGTCTCTTTAAGACCTCATGCACTGATCTAATATACTGTTACACTCTTAGGAGCTGTTTATAATCCGTCGTAGCGAAGGAGAACTTTAAACCCTGAAGCTCTTGGTGCATAAATCTGTAAAGTTGCAAAGACTAAAGTCTCAAATCCAAAGAGATATTCTTTATAAAAGTTAAGAGTCAACCACGCCTACCTAAAACGGGTCGTTCTAACATGCCTCCACATGTTTACGTCACGATGTGGGAAGATTTGCATAACGCCGCCCAAATGTTCACGCAAAGAAAGAAGGCGTAACTTTTATTCTCGCTGTAGTATTGTTGCCGCTGCCGCCATGACGTGGAGACATTGTGTTTCGTTGCGAAAGCAAAACTACTTTGTTTGGCCTTCCAAAATTGGACGACTGACTCACAGACTGTAAGTACGTTTTTTATATTTAAAGAATTTGCCACTGACGATTCAAAGGCGAGTTTTGAGCAGTGTAGAGTAGCACTTGTTGTTTGTCATTTCTCCGATCACAAATGTAGACATGGTTTTATGTTTACGCGGCGCGATGCAATGCAACTCGTAAAAACTCGACAATACATGCGATGGCACCGCAGACGGCAGTCTCAGTGTTTGGCTCTCCAGCGTTTGTACTGTTTTTGTTATTTTTTCCTGTTTTTTGTTTCTCAAACACGATCAGTTTTACCAGGGATGAGCTGCTGAACATTCGAAGCGCGGATTCAGAACGCCATTGCCGAGCATCCATATGGCGAATCTCCGCTCTCTACCCAACAAAACGGACGAACTTCTTCTGCTCTCCTGGACAAATAAGGATTTTTCACACTCTGCTGCTCTGTGTTTCATGTAAACCTGGCTGAATGACGTCATTCCGGACAGCGCATTGAGTCTCCCGGGCTTTCGGCTGTTTAGAGCAGATCGCGACACAGAATCAACGGGGAAATCGCGCGGTGGCGGGA